CGTGGAGAAAGTGAGTCACTTTCCTCAAGTGAGAACTCAAAAAGCCAGGAAGCACAGCCTTCCCAGGAGCCTTCCTCAGGTTTCTCTCAGAAGGGAAGTTGCTTTTGCATTGTTCTTTTTGCAAAAGGAAGAAAAGTTCACACAAATAGCATGCATGTAAACACACGGTGACTTCTCCCTTAGCCATTGGCACTAAGGACCTTGCTACTTCCTTGCTGGTTTGTTCATAGCCTATCCCTACTCCCTCTGTTCGGTGCTGCCACACATCATTCTCTACTCACATGAACTGCCAGGCATGGCTTATAGAAAACACCGCCAACCTATGTGCAGTTTTCTCCAAAGAAAATTTCAAACTTAGGAGAAAGACATTCCCAGGAAGCCATTATTAAAAAAAAAAAAAGCTACAGCTACTACTTAATCATTCTACAAGCCAGTTAGCACAGGCTGGCTGTCCTTTGCGCCTGTTCCTGATGTTGTTGGAGTGATAAGGAAACTGCAAAATATAGAAACACAATATTAAAAACCAACCTGTTGATATTTTGAAAAAGAAATCTTCTTATAGTGTACCAAGTCAACACAAACTATAGTATAATATTTGGGGCAATCTTCTAGTGCACTAAGGGAATCGCTGGAGATGGAAATTCTGATCCACTCACTTCTGATCATTTTTATGATCTGAAGTAGCTTTCTCTTCAGTATAAAGCATATCTCCAACCACCTACTAGTTAGGAAAGCCATTAAATTCTTGCAAATTGAAGGTGGAAAAATAAATTGTATGTCTTTTAGACCCCGAATGATCTTCCTATAGTAATTTCAGAACAAACTAGGAAGAATTCTGCAGTTTTAATCTCCTCAGTAGCTTCCTATTACTAAACAAGCAGAGCGCCACGGTACAAATGTAGACGTCGCGTGTCATCTTGATCTGCGGCTTTTTTCTTTCATTAAAGCTTTAATGCAGCAATTATGGCTACGTTGCCCTATAAAAAAAGGAAAAGGCAGTTTACTTTAAAAAGTGAAATTGCATAGCCTACTATTTAATTATACACAAATGTAAATGGCCTATTTTTCCATAACTGGTTATTACAGCACTGTTTTACTTTCTGAGTTTTCCCAATCTAGAAAACCTACAAAGCTTCCTGCTATATAATTGTTTTGTTACATTATTGTTTTCATCTTATTTTTTCTTTTAATGTGAGTGCAGCGGGATAAATCTTGGTTTTAAGCCAGCCACTACTTCATCTACTTAAGCTTTTATAGATGAAGATTGCTGTAATTATCAGAATACCCGCTTATTTCTGAAGTATTATCCTGGCAACCCGCTGGCATTTACAACCAATTAACAAGCTTTGCCATTAGTTGCATAAGGGGTATCGCAGAGTAAACCCATTGTGTGCTAATTTTCTATTTTAGATAATCAGTTTGGCCATCCAGAATGGAAAGAAGAAGAAAAGAAAAGGTTTGACACTCAGTGGCAGACATGTAAAAATTACTGCGTGCCCCCCAGAGACAAAGGTACCCTGCAACTCAATGATTGCTGTCGCTGTCACTATTGGTTCTTAAGTATTTCCCTTTGTCTCTTTTGGAAGAAAAAAAAGTGGGGATTCGGCAAAGTAATCATGTCCCGTCTCACCCACTCTCTGCCTTTTAAAGCTAGCTGGCTTCTCTTGCTGTCCTGACCATAATTTGACCAAATTGGACGAGTGTTAAACACCTTTAAAAAAGACAGAAGGAAATTGAGCATGAGTTCTTTGGTTCTTTTTTTTTTTTCAACAATGCCTTTCAACCTCTTTCTCCTCCTCCCTTCCTTGCTATTAGAGTTAATTAATGTACAAGCGTCCTCCAACTGGGCTTCCTTAAGATTAGCTTGCAAGCTGGGTTAGTTAAAGTCGAGTGTTGTCATTTTATTGCCTTGTTTAAACAGTCTCTGATATTAATATGTCCCTGACCTCCATCGACAGCATGACAAGGTGCTGCTGACACACTTAAGCTCAAGTTCAGGTCAAGAAAGAAAATGAACTACCAGTGTAGCACTTTGTCGAGGGACCACAGAAGACATCTGAGACCTTCGTTCAGAAATTATCTGGTACCATGAGTCTTCATAAATATGAATGATTGTTTCATCTCAGTGTTCTCTGTGTGTACCTGAAAAGCCCTAAAATCTGACTCCTCTTCCTTATCCCAAGATGATACCAAACGCATTGCAACTCTATTGTCTGTGTCAGGAAACATAAACTGATGCTTTAGAAGTACCAGTGTTGGGGGTTCTAGAGATGATGGTTGCTTCTCTTAGACAGGATATAATTCCAATCCCAGGTGTCCACATCAGAAAGCCCACGAAAGTACCAATATGGACTGAAGGGTGGTGAGACTAAGCAGAACAGAAACTCCATCTACAGTGGTCAGCATCCAAATATCTTTAGTCACAGAACTTCTTAAATCCTCATGCCAAGCTGTAGTTTAAACACACAGCCTTTGACATTTCCAGGGGTAGTCAACAGGTGACCTCTTCCTGCAGGCACACCCAGCTTTAGAACTGGCCAGTTACTGCCTCACATTGTTCCCTTTCCAAACAACCCATCTGGAACAACAGAGTTGTGCAGTACCAATCCTACAACTGGGTTCCAGACATGAACTACTTTCATTATATGTGTACATACATGTGCATGTGCATGAACATACATGTACCTGTGAAGAAAAGCCCACTGACCCATTAACCCATATGTCAAGTTCAAGCTTCTACTAATTGTCTCTCACCCAGTATTGTGGTCATGGATGCAGAGCCACATTCTCAGAGTGTGACACTACTTAAACAGACACTTCTACCTTTATCCAAATTCACAACTCATTATGCCATTATATGTGAGCATTATCTTTCTAGCAAATGAGGATATTATGTGTCCCCAAATACATCTTATTCAAGTCGAGAAGAGACGTTCTTTTCAAGGGTTATTACAGTCCCATCCAATTGTAAAGCTCTTACAAAGAGAGTCCTAGCTCACTCTTGTACTCCATCCCACGTGTTCATTTGTATACAGCACTACCTATCCCCACAAAGGAAAAGTAAAGAGCTAGCTAAAAGCTTGGAGTGAGACAGAGAAGTAAAGAAATTGCATTAGAAGATTCTTTTTTATTACTACTCTCTACTGAATATGTAAGATGACTACTAGCCTTGCAATAACACAATTTTAACATGCCTATGCTTCCATACTGATTGTTTTTCAGTGCTGAGATCAAGTCTGGGCCTTTTGTGTGCTAGGGATACCATTCTACCATCCACGTATAGTCCCAGACTAATTATTATATTCTCTAATCATTATTTCTGTCTTATGATTCCCTATATTTAAATTTTTCTTACTTCAAATTCTAACAAATTGACTCTAGCCTTGTTTTATCTGTTGCCACTATAGTGTGAAGAAGAAAAGAAATAGACACTCTTAAATGACTCCCTGGATAATACTGGAATTAATGATTTTAAGAGAAGAATCTTGGTCACCAGACGGAAATACAGAGATTCTCTGCTTACAAGGGGCATCACTTACTCTTTCTTACGTGCGCTATCTATGACCCTACGTCTTAACAAGGGTTAGAATTATGACAGTTTTCTTACTTAACCCAAGTGATCATGAGTGTCATTCCTGGAGTGAAGTCTTTCTCCATCTTTTTCTAGATTCATTAACTTGCTCAGGTCCCCTCTCCATGCCCACTGTCTCAGATGTACTAAGTGAGAACATGGACCACATGGAGTTGTCTTAAGCATTAAAACTATAACTGTCCATGGATACCACTTAGTATAATGAAAGGCATATAATAAATACAAACACAATCTTATTATTATAGACCTATGTATGCCTGCATGCCCATCGTGCTGGTCACTATGGAGCTAGCAGCAGTGATTGGAACACAGAATCCTCCCCAATACTGCTCACATAATCAACCAGATGCTACCAGCAGAAGTCAGAGGAAGAATGAAGGAAGTTTTCACTATTTCTTTCTGAGTGTAAGAGGGAACCAGGATCCATTTTTTGACCTTGGTAAAAACATGTCACCTTTAGTCTTAAAAGATTACAACCAAAGAAAACTATTCCCAGACCTCATATGACAGGAACCACACACAACATTCTATAGTCATTGTTATTTTTTAATTGAAGTAAATGAAAAATAGCCATGTGTAGCTATTATCAGTCAGTAGTTAGCATTTTAAGATATACAGCTTGAAATCAGCTGAGTCTGTCTTATGACTAGAGATTTTATTTTTGAAATCACCACAATAGACTGAATGGAAAAATGCTTCCCCATAAAGGAGGATGTTTGCTTTCTTTGCCTGCAAACTCCATGAAGCACAGACCCTGTCTGTTTTGTTCATTAATGTATCTCCCAGACTCTGACAGCATTTTACACAGAAATTATTTGTTGGGTGGATTAATGAGTGATCTTGTTTTCTGCTAGTGGTATTTATATCAACCACTTGTCTTTAATATGTCATTGAATCATTAAGTGTTAAGTATCTGGTGCTGCATTAAATTTTGGACCTTCCAGGACACACAGATTGGAGTGGCAGTGATTTTGTCTTAAACAGCTTACTGAAGAGTTTTCAGACTGCTTTAAAGTCCCTATAGTAACATTCTCACATGCAAATAATGAATGAAACCCTGCCGAAAATTATACCAGCATTGTGAGCCTTCAGCCAATTTAGAAACAGACACTACAAAATCTCCATTTCATGAAGGACACAGCACGACTGAGCAAATGCTACTCAGAACCCCAAAGTCTAGTAGGAAACCCGAATCTATTTCTCCCAGTGTTTGAGGAATGCTGTGATTTCTAGGCCAGCCGTGTTGTCTAGTAATTCATCTTGTCAGCCAAGAAAGATGAGTGGCAGAGGCATCACGATTTACAATTATTAGACAAAGGAGACTGTAAACTTGAATGACTTTAGATTCTAAAATAAGTTGACACGTTTTCATTTTAGAGTCGATCTAGAACATACTTTACAACTTGAAAACATTTCCACTGCTGTCAAAAGGTGAAGCTGGCTCCGCCTCTTCGCAGCCTCATCACGGTTCTCCAAATGGCAGCCTTCAGCTGTGGAGCATTACAGTTCTATTATGTGAGAGACAATTTCGTCGGGTGCGTTTTAATTGGCAGAAGGTTAAAAAACACTTTCCTGTCACAAAGAGTTTTCCTCTAAATTAATGAAAGCAAATAAACCCTTACAAGATCACCTCCTTTCCATTTGAAGTTCAAATTTGTCTCCATGATGTTAAGTTAAATAATATCAGCTCAAGCTATGGGAAACTTTCAGGGTAAAGACCCAACAGGTCAGACTGAAGGCAAAAAAGTGATGTTTTAAAACCTATCTTTCAAGGTCTGCATTGCTTTTAAAGAAGGAAAAGACATAGCATGTTTCCACTTCTAGCCCAATAATTAAGAATACATTTTCAACAATGCTTTTTCAACCTTAAGTTAAAACAATTTTTCAAGGGATATTAGGCCACATAGGAGCTACAGTCATCTTCATTTCTTCTACCTTCTTTATGAGTCACTTTATAAAATCATAGCAAAATTTCAATGCATCCCAGAAGTCACTCTTACTAATTGTATCTGTAACACAAAATTTCAAAGTAATTTCTGTCATTATGACCAAACTTGCTACTGTTAAATCCTGCTACTTCATAGATGATCAAATCCAATAGTAGTAAAACAAAAATTATCAAGGATGTGACAGCCCTTTTAAAGTGTCTACACGTCCTTTCTCTCTAGAGTGTAATTTCCAAAGCACATATTTAAATTCCTCTTATATTTTATTAATGCATTGCTGCAAGTTTCTCCTACTATAAGAATGAACATACGCACAGATGCACACACATACATATACACACACAGGTACACAGAGAGAGAGACACACACACACATACATATACACACACAAGCACACAGGTACACAGACACACATATACAGATGCACACACATACATATACACACACAGGTACACACAGAGAGGCACACACACATACATATACACACAGGTACACAGAGAGACACACACACAGGCATACACACGCACACATACATATACACACAGGTATACATACATATACACACAGGTATACAGAGAGAGAGACACACAGGCACACACACACATACATATACACACGCAGGTACACAGAGAGAGAGAGATAGACACACACACATGCACACACATATACATATACACATACAAGCACACAGGTTCACAGACACACATATACAGATGCACACATGTACATATACACACACAGGTACACACAGAGAGAGACACACACACAGGAACACACATACATATACACACAGGTACACAGAGAGACACACACACACATACATATACACACAGGTATACAGAGAGAGACACACACAGGCACACACACACATACATATACACACAGGTACACACACAGAGAGACACACACACACAGGCACACACATACATATACACACACAGGCACACACAGAGAAAGACACACACAGGCACACACATATACATATACACACAGGTACACACAGAGACACACATACGGGCACACACACATACATATACACACAGGTACACAGAGAGAGACACACACACACAGGCACACACACACATACATATACACACAGGTACACAGAGAGAGAAAGAGAGACACGCACACACAGGCACACATACATACATATACACACACAGGTACACAGAGAGAGACACAGGCACACACATTTACATATACACACACAGGTACACAGAGAGAGACACACACACAGGCACACACACACACATACGTATACACACAGAGGCACAGCAAGAGCGAGAGAGAGCAACACATGCACATACCTTGTTATCACTTTTTAGCAACTTTCTTCAAAAGCATTTTAAAACAGTCACATATGCAAGCCTATGTTTTTAAGGCATTTGTGGAAAGAGTCTAAAGCAGAACAAAAATAAGTAAGATACACCCAGATTCTCAGTAGTAAGCGTAACAGCCCCACCACTGTTAAAAGGGAAAAGAATAGGGTGAGGAAGGGGGCTGCTCACCACAGCAGTCTAGAAGGAATGAGAAAGGTTGTTTATAATGGCACAAGCCGTGCACTGGCAGATGGGAGTGTTCTGGGTTGGGGAATGGTGATCATCTCAAACGGTTGCTGCATGTGGTTCAGAATCATAACAAAGGGGATTCTAGGTCCCTGTCTACAGTATACTAACAATGCTGCCCCAACCATGGCCTCTTGACCTCCCTGCTGGGGGCAGAGATTGCTAAACAATTCTGTTTCTAAGGAAAGGCCCCATTGGCTTAGCTTTATCGTTGTTGCCACTAACAGGACCCCAGCCCCAATCTTGACAATACATCTTCTTGTTGTGTACTTTCCTAGAGAATGGGGAGGAGCAGGACAATGAAGGACAAATAACTACCAAACACCCATGGGAATTCCCAGGCATATTTAAATATAAGGAGCTGGGCCTGGTAGCACAAACTATTATCCCAGCTATTCACGAGGCTTAAGCGAACAAATATATGGCTTGCCTGGGCTCCAGAGAAAATTCGAAATCAGCCTCAGCAAGTTAGTGGGACTGTGTCAATACATTAACTGATTAATCCATTAAATGGGTGGGTATATAGTTCAGTAGCAGCATGCTTGTCCAGCATATGAAAGACCTGGATTCAATGCTTAATACCGGAGCTTGAGTTCAAATCCTGATGCTGCCACTTTCGGGCTGTTGGACCTAAAGTGAGTTAACATCTCTGTTAATATCATGTTGTCTAAAACAGAGACACTTACCTCACCAACTCTGAGACTCAAATGAGTGTCGAGACTCTTTTAGAAATGACTAGCAAAGACCTAGTCCATAGCAGCTTTTCTAGAAATATCAGCTAGGGCTACCTCTCTGTAATGCAGACAGTGTCCATCCTGACTACTGATACCTCCTTTCCTTATGTTCCAGAAGTTACTGAAACAAATCTGTCTATGGCCACATTGTGGGTACTAAACCGCTCTATGAGCAGAGAAGAGCAGATGGATTAAGCCACGGCCAGCTTGGGAATTCACTGGCTGCACACAGTGAACTAACCAGCGGTGCAGACACTGGTTCCAGAGTCACCATGGACCCCCCCCCCGTATTCAGACAGACCTGGTTTGGAGTCCATTCTCCTCTGTTTTCCTACTTACATAAAAATTTAATTTGGTTAGAGGCAAGAATCTTTTAAAATAGTATTCCTTATCCTTGAAACAAACAAATGAATGAACAAATGAATGAATGAGTGAATGAATGAATGAAAACTTGCTTTCCCTGTTGTGGGAAAGAAATCAAACAGGAAGAGTAAGACATATAGCATAATACTTGGTGTGGTGCTTTGTATAAGAAATATCCCCTAAATATATGCTCACATATTTGAAAACATGCTGTAAAGTAGTGTTGCTGTTTGGGCAGGTTGGGATGTACGGCCTCGATGGAGGAAATATGTCACTAGGAATAGGCTTCGAAATTTCACTCTCTCGCCTTTGCAATCTCTCAACCTCCTGATTCTGCCACCATGTCTGCCACTTGCTGCCATGCCGCCTGGCCACAACTGAGTCTCCATCGGCAACCATAAACACTTCCTTCTGTAAGTTCCCTTGGTCATTGTACCCTGTCATAGTCATGAAAATGTAACTAGTACACTTGGCATACAGAAAGCATTCAAGTGTTATCAGTGAGGTCAGGCAAAGGTACATTTTAGGCTCAGGATGCTTTTACAGGCCAAAGTAAAGGCTCCTACAAATGCCAATAAGACCAACGCCGGAAGTAGTTAAGGTGCTGCACTGCATAACAAAAGGGACTGCAGATATAAGTAAGGTAGAAAATATCCTGAGATGGCTGCTGTTCTGTCTAACCACATGAGCCCCCAAGAGTTGAAATTTTCACCGGGGGCTCAAGAGTCTTAAGGGAAAAGGAAGAGTTAGATTGACTCTGAATATAAGAAATACCTAACCTGGTTTGAAGTCCTAGGATGTAGGTGCCACGGGCACAATGAAGCCTCTAGGAGCTAACATGGTAGCCAGGAGACACCCAGCAAAAAAACACGTATTTCAATCCTAGCACTGCAAGGAACTAACAGCTGAGAGCCAGTTCTTCCCCTGGTGACCACCACAGGCCAACACTGGACCCTGGAACCCTAGAGATGCCCAGTCTTCCATCTAAAGAACTCTGGGGTGGTTAGTCTGTGCGTGGAAGTGCTATAAACCTAGTAAACCTTAATGCCAGAACTGTTAATATAAACGGACTTTACTGCAAGAGAATGGCCTTCTCAGTGAAACTGGAGTTGTTGAAAGACAGGGTAGGTATCAAATAATAGCTAATGTCTTTGAAAATTGGTTTGATAGGACCCAATTTACATATATTATCCTCCTTTTCCTTTACCAAATATGTAATAAGGTACCTTAAGAAACTGCTATTTTGCAAGCAAGGTAATACACAAATGCATGGAAAATTTTAAACAACATCAATAATCAGCTCTTACACTGCTATATCTACCTGTGATCTGTGTCTCTGGAGATGAAACACATGAACATGTTATAAACCCCAATGCCATGTTTTGACTGGCACAGAACAGCACTGACATATAATCCATACTCCTTATTTTTCTAGATAACTGAGCAAACTAATGAATGGCTACAAAGACATAGCTCATGTTTTATGACCTGAATTACTGGAAATTATTGTTAACTCAAGGTAGTCAAGGCAGTGTTAGGAAATTACTTTTCAACCATGCTATCCAGCGGTCACAAATTTTCCCCCCAAAAAATCTCAGTGGTTTGGCACCACCAAGGTTTCTTCTGATTGTACAAGTTCTGTCCTAGATTCAAATGTTAGTACAGCATGGTGTGTTCCCTGTCCTGACCTAAGAAAAGCTAGGCTCCTGAGGTTTTGTAGATTTTCTCTTAAGCCAAAGCTCCTGTAAGTTTAGGGAGCAGAAGGTCATGTGGCGATGTGATGTCACACCTGCCCCCATTATGCTTCAGCATGAAGGGAACATCACTTACTCTCACAGATGATTGGCTAATTTTCACCACAAGGCAAGAAGCTTAGGATAGGCAGTGTGCGACATTCCGGGGATGCTGATGAGCACTGACTTCATCAATCAAAATCATGAAATCATACTCTTCAGAAGAAATAGATCCTCAGCAAATAGTAGCAGCTCCTGCTTCCTAACCCCTCCCAAAGCACTGTGAGCCAAAGCCACCCGGTGTCCTGCCCTCCCATGCAGATTCCCAGGCCTTCCACCCAATGTCCTGCCCTCCCATGCAGATTCCCAGGCCTTCCACCCAATGTCCGGCCCTCCCATGCAGATTCCCAGGCCTTCCACCTGGTGTCCTGCCCTCTCATGCAAATTCCCAGGCCTTCCACCTGGTGTCCTGCCCTCTCATGCAGATTCCCAGGCCTTCCACCCAATGTCCTGCCCTCCCATGCAGATTCCCAGGCCTTCCACCCGGTGTCCTGCCCTCCCATGCAGATTCCCAGGCCTTCCACCCGGTGTCCTGCCCTCCTACCCAGACTCCAAGCCATTCTACCCAGTGTCCTGCTATCCTACCCAGACTGGAAGGCCTTCCTGAACAAGGAAATGTTACTATATTTCATGTTTCTCTTTATGACCTGGCCAGCCAGCAATAACAATGCGGTCTATGTGCCTTCCCCACTATAAAAAGCTTTGTCCCGGGACCCTCAGGTCCACAGGACCTGTCATCACATTGCCCCTGCACTTTTGAACTTCCACAGCCCATTCCCACAGACTATGATCAAACATGAGCCACCATCAAGAGCCCAAGGGATTCAACAAAGGGAAGATGTGCATTTTTTTTTTACTTTTTGTAGTAAATTTTATCTCTGCTCAAAGGCATCTTTTCTAGGTCTCTCTGGAACACCTGTGCCTATTTTCTTGGACTCAATAGGAAGTGTAGGTCTTATTTGGACTTGATGAAGGTGTGAGAGAGCACAAGAAATTTTCACTAATGTTTAGAAAAGCTAGATATGTTAATGTTTACATCTGCAGACTTTTGCATTTGGTATGTGGGACACCACAAACCTGGAAAATGCAGCCTAAACCACAGAAGCATTTGTGTTCACTTCAGAAATATTACCAGATCTCTCACTTTAGTGGAAACCTATGAAATGTATACTTTCATATTACTAAAAAATTTACATTTAAAAATTATGTTTTACCCTGTGTCTTGAAAATGCTCTGAGAAAATTCTGCTGTTTGTTTAGAACAGTGTTTCTCAAGTTAAATTTGTAGACAGAAGTTTTTCAGAAATATTAAAGATGGAGATTTTTGGTAACTCCTCTCCCCACATAAATTATTGATTATGTGTTTTAGATGGTCTCTAAACTACATTTTAATAAACCCATGGGTGATGTTGTTTCAACCAGTGTGACTGCCCAGTGTCTGAGCTACAATGTGCTTGTGTTCTAGCTACAGTAAAACAAGTCATATAGGATTGTAAGCAAAAGCACATTTCCTTTAACTGTAGTTGGCACTGGGTGGCAGGGGTGTTGGGGAAGTCCTGTGCATTTGTCAATAAAGCACTGTCTGGCCAATAGGGAATCTAGATAGGAGGGACTAGGAGTCCAGAAGGACTCTGGGTAGGAGAAACACAGGAGGGCAAGATGTAACCGTCATGGGGTAGGAAGCTCGGAACTATTCTCCTGTAAGAAACATACTTAGATTAACAATTATGGGGTAATTACTTAAGTCAGAGCTAGCCAGTAAGAAACAAGCAAGGCCAACAGCTTCATAACTAATATAGCCTCCTGTGTGTTTATTTGGGACTGATGCAGCTCTAGAACCAGGCTGGCCGGAAGGCTCCTCTCAAAAGAAAATGCTTCTCTTTACACGGGGGGGAATCTGCCAGCCAACTTCCAAATAAAGACATGGGAACTTATTAATTATGAATTCTCAACCTTAGCTTAGGCTTGTTTCTAGCAAGATTGTTTTTTCTTTAACTTAAATTAACCCACTTCTATTAATCTATGTGCTGCCCCGAGGCTCGTTTACCTCATTCATCCTGCTATTCTCCTTCCTCCATGTCTGGCTGGCTGGCCACCAGCAAGCTCCACCCCCCCCACCCTGCCCTCTTCTCTCTGCCAGCCAGCCCCACCTAGTCTCCTCTGCCTAGCTATTGGCTGTTCAGCTTTTTATTAGACCAAGATGAAACAGCAATGCAACTTTACATAGTTAAACAAATATTCTATTCCATAATATTTATCAATAATCAGCTGAATTTCACAAGGTGTTTTGTGATTTGAAAGTATCTACATTCATTCCTGAGCAAAGAACAGAACAGAAAAAGAGGCTTTAGAAAGAGTTCAGACTGTTCCCCCAATGATGTGACAGACTTTGATGATCTCCTGTGGAAGGCCTCATTATCCTTGGGGAGCGGGTGGGGGTGGTTTGGGGGAGGCTGGTGGGGGGCATGGGAAAATGGGAGGATTGAATGTAAAATAGGATTTAAAAAAAGAAAAAGAAAAACAGTAATTAAATCTGCTAATGTAACTATAATATAATAATAAGTTACATGGCTAGTCCAAAAAAAAAGAAAAGAAAAGAAAAAGAAATAATACCTAAATTTCAGTTCCTGCCAGCATTGGAACACTAACAAATTCCTGTTAACTCCAGTTCTCAGGGATCTGATCCCTCTTCTGGCCTCTGTGGGCACTGCAATCACATATATCCATACACACAAAGAGATACACAGAAACACACATACACACACACAAATACATAAATAGAAAAATAAATCACACGCATGATTAAGAGAAGCCAGTCTTAATAGCAAGTGTACATCTATTGTACAATGCTGTATAATATCAAAGTTATAGGAAAGAAAGGCACATGGAAAGTAAGTTTAAATGGAAGTTTATTTCCTCCTTTCTTCACTATAAAGTCACAAATGTATTAAAGGCAGAGGACATAATACTCATTTTTACATATTAATGGGGTCATAAGACACAATGAGTCAACTAAACTGTCAATTTAATTAAACACAACAAGTTATGGCATACACTGTGCTTAGCAATGCCAAATTCAAAATTTAACTTAGTTTTAGCCTAATTAATAAATAATAATTGAATATCAACCATATTCTAAATACCAAGATAGATGTTAAGGTAACGAATTCAAAGTCTGTTTTTATTTATTATTTTTACTAGTAGGAATGATATATGTGCAGAGACACATGAGCCATGGGATGTGTGTGGAAGCCAGAATTTAACTTTTTGGATTCGGTTCTTTCCTCCACCATACATGGATTCCAAGATTGAGCTCAGGCCCTCAGGTCAAGCCTGCGTGCAAGCATCTCACCCAGTAAGCCATTTTGCTATTCTGTGTGATAAATCCTTGCCAAAGCTTACTTTCTAATCTGTGAGGATGACAATTAGATAATCACATATGGTGTGGCAGTACTAAGGGCGACATGATAACAGGGGAGAAGTCAGTGGTCACCCGGAACTGGCTCGTGTGAACTTGTTACTAGGCAGAAGCACAAACACACTGTGGGAATACAAGCTCTGACAGCCTAAGCAGAAGCTACACAAAAATCTTACCTTGAAGATTAGTGAGGAACTTTTCTAACAAATAATGAACAGGCAGCTGGAAGGCTGGGTTTAAAGATGAGCAGGATATAAGAACCGAAAGACATGAAGTAAAAGCAGGTTACCCAACTTCCGGATGGAACTTCTGCTGCTGCTGCTGCTGCTGCTGCTGCTACTGCATCACAACCTGCAGGCTGCCTCCCCTGTGCTTCTGAGCGAGCTCATCACCAAGTGAATAGAAAGGCTCATCTGAGAGGATCCTAGAAAGGGCACTGCTGAGGAAGGGCTGCAGGGAAGCATACTAACGGAGAAGTGATTTCCTAAAAAGAGGGGAGGGATAAAGGATGCGGCAAAGCTTCTACACAGGCCAAATTGACCAACGTTTGGATCAACACAGCTAAAACACAAACTGAAATGAAAATTCATTGCAAGAAAATAACAAGGAGATGGGAATTGTGCTTGCCATGCAACCAGGAGAACCCAAGACCTGCTCACTAGCACCCCCACACCAATCTGGGTTTAGAAATGCAAGCTTGTAGTCCCAGCA